TTCTTAAATTGTGCCTAGACATGTATGGAAAGCCAGTATCTATTCTAAAGAATTATCTGGATACTCTCAAATGTTTGTAACCAGTTGCACAGCTTGAAACACACAAATGAGAACTAAATAAAAATAAATATAAGCATTACATCTAAATAGCGAACTATTCTCTGAAAATATGTTATTTGGAGCCTGGAGACCATTAGCTTTATGGGAAAGATAGGCTCTTCATTTTCCACTGAGACTGTGATTTTAGCTAGAGGTTTGAATTGTTGCACTACAGCAAAAAGATTTTATCTCCTCAATTCAGGATTAATCAATTATTTGAATTCTTAAAAACCCCAGAAGCAAAACCAAATCCCTTTCTATATTTCTTCTGTAGTCAGTATTTTCCAGTATTACTAATTCATTTGCATTTTTCTGTGCCTTAAAACTAATTTCCCCTGTGTTCTACTCTATTTTTATCTGCTGAGTATTAATCCAGCAAAAATGATTGCAAAGTCTGTAGAATCAGGTGTGAAACAACTAAACATTTTCAGCATTGTTTACAAAGCCAATTATCTTGTATTGGAAAGTAACTTCAGTTCTGAGATGCTGATCCCCCCACCCCACCGTCTCTTTCACATGATCAGCTCTGTGAAGTATTAGATCCTGTTCTTTAACAGCAAGATTAATTTCTATCCTGTTCTTGTTTCAGAGACACCCTCTATCAGCAGCACGCCCTTATGACCTGCCAAAACTCTACCGAACCGAAGACTTTTTTCCAATGAACTATGTAGGTACTAAGTATCAAAATAATTAAATTTTGACTACCAAAAGTTTTTTAGGAAAGGCTGCCTGAGTTTATTCTTACAGTTCTTACTTTATGACATTAGGAAGAAGCAACTGTTACATTTCAGATCTTTGGCTAGCACCTCTAAGGGAAGCTAAAAAATCTCTGATCATATTGTAGCTATATGAGGCTGGAACATTTATTCTCAGATTTGATCACAGTTGTTGGCACTTACTTGAGAAGCTTCCTAAATCAATGGGGAAAATGTACAAAACCTCACTTTGTTTACCTTCGCATTTTTATACTTAAAATGCTTAGAAGGTTGAAGAGTGCTTTAGTATGGCATGTTAAAACTGTCAAGTAACGTGCTAATATTGCCAGCTTCACAAATGCACAAATGTTCAGATTTTACAAGAGAACGTGAAGTCAATGTCAAAATTTTAAAATTCAATAAACTGCACATGGCTGAAGCTTCCAACACTCTATTTCAAACTAAGAATAGGGGTTTACAAGCTGTTGTGTAATATAACTTGAATGGTATAAATAAACTTCTGCAAAGCTGTTACAGACCTTTGGATGTGCAATTTTGTAATGCAGATGCCATTTAGCCAGGACCAGGAGTAGCACAGTTCATCTCTGCACCTGTAGCTTTTTTTTTTTTTTTTTTTTTTACTTAAAATAGGTCTAGGGAACCAAAACACACTCAGTTCTCTGAGTAAGAAACATTAGGAAGAGAAGGTTATATACTTTCCAGATGATTGGCTTTGCATACAGTACAAATTGGAGAAACAGAAATAAATGCTGTTGTTTTTAAAATACCTGTGGAAAAACTCAAGATGGAGGACCCAATGCAAATTCTGTAAAGGGGGGCGGGGGGGAAGCTTATGGTGAAAGTAAAGCTACATGGCTTTGAGTAACCATGGAGACCAATGCTTTTCTGATGCAGAAATAAATGAACTCAACCTTTTCATATTTATTAGTGGGACTGATGATGAAAGATAAAGTCGAATTAAAATATAAAGCAATAGAAGACAGACCTAGTCAGTGCCTCTGCCCCTGCAATGCAGGTTATTGTAACAGATTATTACAGATGAGCTGGTATTACAGAGAGGCAAATTAGTTATGAACAGAACAAAATACTCTTAGTTATACCAACCTGTTTATCCAAATACCAGCTTATTCACAGAAATGAAGAGACAGTACACACGACTTATTCCTGAAATCTTTTGGTTCTGTTAAAAATGGAAATAAACTTGGTTTAATGCCATAGCAGTGTATGAAATATATGTACTACAAAATGGTAAATTGTTTGCGTATTAGTAGGTATTTGAAACCTACTCATTTCTTGGTGGTAAGGATGACAGAATTTTCCTGTAAAAATACTGGGTTAATATTTAGGTTTCTGTCTTGAAAATACATGTCAAAGGGTCAAGTATTAACTGGGAAGTTCTTGCTACAGCAATGTTACTGCTGAACAGAGGATGGCAGCATTAAATGTCACTTGAACTTTCAGTAAGATTAAGAGCTTGTGAAATCAAACTTCAATGCAGATATTTCTGCAACATCGTATTTTGACTGAGTAGAAATCCCAGTGTAGATAAAGGGTTAAGTCACAGCACCCAAAGGAAAATGCTGAGATCAAGTGTGATTTTAGTGTATGATGCACCGGATAGAAAATTGGGAGTTTAGCAAAAGCTGTCTGTCCGTCCCTCCTGGAAAATAATGGTTTGGAGGAAAGCTTACTGGCTGTAACTGTGCCTCAAGCAGTGAGGGGGAGGGGATGGAAGGAGTGTACTAAAGGAACAAGCTCAAGTGCACTTGTTGAAGCACCACAGGTCAGTGCAGTGCACAATGCTTCAAAATAACAGTTATTACAAGCCCATATGAACTCCCACAGAAATAAAGCATCATATAAAATGCAGTGACCCTTAACAATCTCGGACTGTTCTTGCCACTCTCAGGTATCCTCTAAAGTCACAGTACAGGTCACATCTGAAATAGTTTTTGTTGTTGTACAAAGCTGTCTTGTGTCTAGAAACAATGCCTATGCTAAGCACTTCATTCTCAATTGCTACAACTTTTAGATTTCAGATAACGTGTTTGAGATGGAAAACACACTTCCCATTGCTTCAATTCAGGTAAACTGGCTGAAACAAAAATCTTAAAGTTTTAAATTAATGGTCCTTCTGCTCTGCTGTGCTGGCCAAACTAGTTTTCAAGGTCTCACACTGAATACTGAAGAATTTAAAGGCTGGCCTGAGCTGGCTACTCTGCAAGCACAGCTGGTACATTGCTTAATGTATGTAAAAATTAAATAACTTCCATCTCATGAAATTAGAATGGTGCGATATGTTGAGATTATACAAACTGGGTTTAAGGTTCCTCCAGTTTTATCGGGCCATTTACATCTTCTGCTTTTTTGACTTCCTCAAAAATGTGTGGTTAGCCTCAAATCTAGAAAGGAATTCCTGCCTAGGCTAAAATCCACATTTGAAGAGTAACTTGTTTGAAATACTAGAAAGTTTATGCCACTTAAAACAACCACCCCCAATCATTGATATTCCTGGTAGGGCAGACTATTTTTGTGCAAGACCTTTAATCACTATATAAAATGGTATTTCCTCTCATGGAATTTTCAGGCAAATGAAACACTTCTAAACAGTTCATGTTTTATCGTCTTACAATATTCGGTAACTACAAACAGGAGCTCAGAATTTGGAAGGTTGACTTTTATCTATAGAGTTCCCTAATATGAAGTTAACCTTAAGAGATATTGACAAGTATGATGCAGACTCATGATAACCAAATTTTTTTTATTGCATTGCTTAACAGAGGTTAAACTGTTGGGGGTTTTTTTAAAGCTTTTAAAAAATGTATTTGTAAAATCCCTTAAAGCCTAAGTGAAATGACACAAATTCTGAAATGTCTTTTAACTTTTCACATAGTAGCCTCCTGTGAAATAGAGCAGCCTACAGAGGGAGAAAGGAACCGTAACCAAGTTTTCTTAGCAAGGAGCAACCTTTCCTAGAACTGAGTGCCTTGATTTTGTTGGGAAAAAGATTATCAACCCACTGACATCTCTAAGTGGTAGCTGACAAACTCTCAGCTGATTTACTGAAGTTATTTTCAATGAAATAGTTCAGAAAGCCTGCTAAAAAAATGAGTTGATGCTCAAGTTCTCTCTTAAGGCAGAGAAACACAAGGAGCAGTTTTGCTGATGTAAATGTCAAAAGTATTTTTCCTGTATCATTCTTAAAATGTATCTTCTACTGCTTGAGTGCATAACTGGGAGCCAGTCCAACTTCCACTCCTCTAAGTTAAAAAAGCGGAATGAGAGTACACATCCCTTATGTGAAGGGGAAAAGGACAAGACCAATCTATACTATCTTCACCTAAAGGTACTGTTTTGAGTCATCACTTCACACTTAATTAGTTCAACAAACCCAGATATGCTCATTCCAAAGAGTGGCAGCAGCACCCATTAGTTGCAGAAGGTAAAGGCATAGAGTTTTGTCTTTGGCTTATATATAGTGGCTTGTTTGTTATAGTGGTGGAAAGCAGAGTTTATACACAAGGCTGCTAGACAGCTAAATGCTTTCTCAAGATCTTTTGCAAAACGGTTTTGCTCTTTAACATGTTGAAGAACACAGAGCTATTTCTTCCATTAATCAAAATTTCACAGATCGATTTAATTCTTGTAAAGTATCAAAAAATAGGTACTCTGATATTTATTAGACATATACCTAAATCAAACTCATCACTCTAAGAATAGTTTGTTCTCATCACAATTAGATTCCCTTCAGTGCATTATTTTCTCGATGAGGTTTGGGTTGTGCAGCTGTCTGTTGTACTGCACACTTGCCAAAATGCAGGACTGGCCTGACAAACCAATCACAAATTTTAACAAAGGGGTTTTTTTAGTATTCAAATTACTTTTTTCTTCGAAGCCCAAACAAGGCTGTGGCTTGCAAGGCATGCTCCTTCATGTTTAAATGGTAATTATTCACATACCTTGGCTATCATTTACCCTCAAGATGCAGTGCTTCAGAGAGAGACGTTGTTCTAGGTAGCTTTTTAATATGTGAAAGTGATCTCCAGTCATGTAAGTACAAAGGGATGGAGAAAAATGCAAGTAATTCATAGACCTTGTTTCTCCAGGATGCAGAAGCAGCAAATCAATTCTATTTATAAGTTAGTACTCTAAAATGCTAAACAGTAAAGACAAATTCAGCCAAAGTTAGTTTTGTAGGATTTTCAATATTCTTGAAGAGATCAGTCTATTCAGTAAGAAAGTACTATAGAGCCGTGCCCCAGCAGAGCTGTGGAGCACACTGGGGTGGGGGGGAAAAAGGAACACATGTAGCAGATAGGATTTACCAAACAGGAATGAAGCACTTGCATGTAATAAAGCAGATATTTACATTAAGCACAATACAGCAATTTATTTAGATGCTTAAATGAAGAATACAAAGGGAAATAAAGATCACAAAATTATACATACTACAACAGTGTGTCATATATTAGATGGTATAAATGAATACAACACCTTGTTGGTGTTAACTAAAGATAAAACTAAATATCCAAAACACAGCACTTTTGTTTCAGTGTGCTGCTCAACACAATACACTTTTATACAGATCTAAAAGGTGTCAAAATTAGTAGCTGCAAACTTGTTTCTTGCATGTGATTTTTCTTTTTTAGCTTAAAAGATTTCAGAAAATGGCTCTGAAATACGTTTGTCATCAGTTGTAATGTCAAGGATATTCAGAACAAGAAAATTCTATAATACAATAGAGTCCAGATATATTTTTTTTTTATGTTGCTGGCCTCTGTTTTGAGATTGTACAAGGTTATGTGCAAAAACTAAGTTTGTCAAAATTCTTACTATAGCAGTTTCAAGCTTTTGCTAGGTAAACTAGATACAGCATTTATTACACAGCAGGGCAACACTAAAAAAGAGAAACAAATCTATGATGGGTACACAAGAACAATTTCATAAGCTTCACTTGAATAGGTCTAAAAGACTGTACAAATATACATTTCAACTATTCAGAATGATACATGAAAAAAAATCAATTTCCCCATAGTCTACTATACACGTTGAACTGGTAGCTTGTATGGTTGGCCCTACACTACCATGTGAAAAGGGTAATGTTTAAAAAGACATACAACTGAACATGTACAAGAGTGAAATAAATGTTGAAAATGCAGATAAAATAAACCTCTGCTTTTCTCTGTGTGCATTCTGGAGCCACCAGCTTATCTGTTTTCACATTAAGTTACTGTGCTCATCCCAGCAGATATCCTCAAGCAAGATTAGCCAACAGCATCCTTAATAACCACTGGAGTAACAGTGGCCACAACCACCACACACCATGACCTAGCACTTGAAAGGCAGTACCAGTAAGAATTGAAGCTTAGCAGTCATACTGAAATGAAAGTGTTTAGACAGTTGTAGATCAGATCCTACTACTGACACCTCTGAATTGAGCAGATCACGCTTGCTGGCTGCTCAGCTCCACGCCAGTTAAGCTGCTGTGCATTGGTTCTGCTACTCCATCAGTCACACTGTCAAACTGATCTCCATCCTCACTGTCAATTGTGCTATTCTGCCATTCCATCTGCTGGTTTGACAAGCTCTCCTCCATCTCTGATGCATTTTTCCATTGCGACTGGTCCTTAGACCAAAACTCTTCTACTTTTCCATAGGAACGATTCTTCCACTTTGACTGTTCTTCATCACTTTCAGATCCACCCCCTTTTGTCTCAGCAGCCGGTTTACTGCTACCGGCATCTTCGCTTTGGGAGGATTCATCTGTCCACGCTTCTGGTTTTACTTCTGATGTATTATCTTCAAAATCAGACACCTGCTGAGAACCAGGCCCGCTTTCAGACTGTGAAGCTCCATCTTTCCATTCAACAGTATCCTCTTGATCATCCTGATCACCTTCGCTATCTGAAACATCACCTGCTAGTTTCGTTGGTTCTTCAGCAGAAATAATCTCTTCATATTTAGAGCTTTTCTCTTGTTTTTGATCAGACTTCTCTGGAGACTGCAATGCGTTTTCTTCAACGATTTCCTTGGATATGCTGTCCTCGGGGTTCTCCGCTATGGTATCAGAAGAGGTTTTCCCACCAACGTCAGAAATACGCTGACCGAAGGGACTACCGCTTTCATTGTATTCCTCTTCTATATTTTCATAGCTGTCCGAGGAACTTTCATTGTCTTTTTCTAAGTTTATTTTTTTATCAACAGTTTTACTAACATTGACTCTGGAATTCTTTTCGTCGTGGTTTTCAAACAGCCATTCAGCATCGAAATCCATTTCATGTTTAACCTTGTTTAACTCTTTCATATTGAAACCAAGCAGCACACCAGGTTTGTATTTCTCACAATCTCTAACACATTTCTTCCTTTTGTTACTAAAATGAGACGCAATATCAGATTTCCAGAGCCACAAACTGGCAGCCAGCTTTTCAATCTCTCTCCTAGTGGGATATGGTTGTTTATTAAAATACTTTGTAAGAAATGTTTTCCTGGCCTCATAGGAATCATCTTCATGGCCCTTGGGGTCCAATGCTAGAACTACAGGTTCTTCAGGCTTCTCCTCAAAGGCAGATGGGGAGTCATCATCATCCATTTTCCTCTTCTTCATTAGCGAGAACTCCATGTGTTCATAAGTACGTTTTACAGGTGCTACAGCTGGAGACTGACTTAGCCGAGATGACGAGGTACCTTTGTCCTGGCCATTCTGAGTCTTCCCCACACCTCTGCAGTGAACAAGGTGCAGCGTTATCGTTGAGGCAGTCATGTTACTAGTATATACACCAAGGCAATGAATGCATTTGTAGGTTAACTTCTTCTCAACCGGATGGACTGTCTGAATCACTTGATGCCTCTCCCGTAGATGATGTGCCAGTGCATCAGAGATGGGTCCTTTTAGGATTGAAAAGCACAGAGGACAGAGAGTTTTCCCCACATCTTTTTTGTAGGGAACTGCTGCTTGTGGTGAACTTTTTACAGGTACATCAGACTTCTCCTGGATTTTCGGCTGTGGTTTTGGAGGAACTGGGGGAGTATTCTGAGCGTGGTAAGCAACAGATTCAGCAGGAGCATCTCTCAGGTTGTAGGTGGTTACAAGAAGATGTATATTCGTGTGACTACCCTGCTGCAATGTCAAATCAAAGGTTAGAGTGGAGTCAGTTTTAGGTCCCATTTCTTCATCAACATGAACCATTCGCATGTGAGCAGCCATCTTTTCAACATCATTGAAGGTTGAGCGGCAATACGGACAAGACAGACCATGTATTAACATATGATTAAGCAATGTATCAGTGGGTAAATAGCGATTACAGTATAGACATTTGCTAGTGAAATTGTGTATTTTCATTATATAGTTAGCTACTGCAGGCACCTTTTCAGCCTTGTGCTCCTTCTCAAAGTGGACACTATACACATTTTCAGGAAACAGCTCATTACAGATTGTACAGATTTTCCACTTCTGTGTGGATGATGTATTGACAGTGGAAGGACCTGTAGCAGCTACGGGAGATTTTGAGCCAGACTGACCTAATACTCTTGAAGCTGCCTGTGACTGAGATAATGACGTCTGTTTCAACTGAGCTGATGAAAGAGAAGATGAATTGGCAGACTGAAGAGAGTATCTTGCCGAGGCCTGTGATCTTTGTTCCCCTCCAAGAGTATAAGGCCTTCCATTTCCACTTGCTGAAAACTGTTTCATTGTTTGCGACTGTTGTGGAATAGAAACTGGTGCATTACCACTTAAGTTTAGCCTTCCCCCTGGCTGACCAACGTAACTTGGTGGTACTGATTTGACTCCGTAATTGTTTTGTTGGAGATGAACATTTGACATCATATTCACTCCTGCGGAATTTAACGTAGGCTTTGGTATAGTGAGTCTGTTCATCATCTGTTGTGATGAAAGAGATCGAACGCTTCCAGGGGAAAGGGGACCCATCCTCTGAGGGAGTCCCATAGGCTTTTTATCCTGGGGTTTTGGAGCTATGAGCATCAAAGGTTTAGATCTTGGAACCACTACATTAGTGTGACCTATCATTGCTGTTACCTGGTATCCTATACGTTCATGGTCTTCGATAACATGCTGTACTAAAGCTTCGTATGATTTCGGCATAAAAAGGCATCGTTTGCAGTGAATACTACCCTCCTCTCGGGTACTGGAGCTTAACGGAACTGCACCATTGAGTGACTTTTCACCTCCCTTCGCTACGTAAGGAGCAGCAACATGCTGAAAATGTTCCCTGTAAATGTGCTTTCTAACTATTTCATACAGAGGATCTCGGTAAGTGCACTTCTTACAGTAATAAACAGCTTGCTCTACACTGTCAGCCTGCTTAGGTTTAAGGCTATCATGTTTGTTTTTATCTTTAAAAGTGCTGATGCCTCCACTTGGTGTATTGGCATTTGGAGCATGAAATATTTTAATGTGCGTTTCCAAAGTCTTTTTGTCCGCATTGAAAGTACAGTAAGGACAATTAAGGAGAATCCTATTTTCAAAGTCTTCGCTATGAACATTCCGGAAGTGGCTTTTGTACGCTGAAAAGAACTTCGAGGAAAATGGACATGCACTGCAGCAAAAGGGCTTTGTCCGATAGTCCTTAAAACAAAGAACAAAGCAGAAACTAAATATTGAAAAGCAGTTTTTGGAAAAACAACATCCATGATCTTCTCTAAACAGTAATGTTTCTTAATAATAGTCTCAAGACACTGCCACAGTCTCAAACCTTTAATTTATTATCTCCAATTTTTGGCCCTAATCGGGCCCTAAAAAGTTTATCACCTGAACATACACGTGATGTGGCGAGTGCCAGTTTAGAGGTCCCTCAAGAATTTAACCATAAACTCAGCACGCAAGGCTAAATCATAAGCATCTTTCTCCACCAGTCAAAAAAAAGCCTCATTCCCTGCAGCTGAGCTGCATAAAAAGTTCACCATAAGCTTGTTTCTGGGGGAAAAGACAAGCATGATTGTTTGACTAAGATGAGACTGTATCCAGAAGACGTGAGTTACTTCCCACCAAAATCTGTCAACCATTTATGGCTATAAAATGGATATATAACTTTAGCTGTTTCAGTGTCTTAATCCATTACAAACTCTACCATAAAAGATGCTCTTCAAAACTTTTTTTGGTGAAAAAATGGATTTAATCTTACCAAGTCATATACTAAGGCCACATAAGCCCTTAAAGCCACCAGGCCTTTTCCTGCTGATCAAAGCACAAACCTGATTTTAAAAGCAATCTTGAGTCAGAAAAAAAGATATTTGAAAATTCCACACTTGTTGCCAATGCAGTTCTTGTCAAGTGTTGTAACAGAAACTAAAGTTACACTGGCCTCAGAGATAGCCACAAGCAATCTGGCATTTCAGATGAGATAAGATATGAAATTCAAATGGTTACAAACATTCATCACAAGCATCAAAACAAGTCTTGTGTATCAAATTACACACAGATCATTTGAAGCAGCTGGAGAGTTGTGCTCTCCCTCTGCATACGTAGGAATATGCTTCTGTCCACCCTCTGAAGCCTCAGACATCTGGGAGGGTGGACACAAGATACAACGAACCACACTGTCTCCTTTAATATTACAATTTATATTCTGGAAATAACTAGAAAAAAGGAAAACATCAGCAGATGTTTTTATGGAACACAGTAATAAAGGGACATTTTTAGATTAACACTACTCTAGGAATTCATCATAATACAGGTTCCCATTTCCTGTAGGAGCAATACCTGACCTTTCATATGCTACAAGAGGGCTTATTTTGCAGAGAGGAGTTCTCACCTTCTCACTGCTCTGTCAGTGCTGGTATGAGGCTACTGCAGAGCACATGACTTGACTTATACATATTTAATCTGAATCAAGTATTATTTCCTCCCTCCAGTTCAATTCAAATTTCCTTTATTACTGACTCAAACATCTAAAAAGTAATACTTGCAGTGTCACCTAATTCTGCTGCACAAAACTATATATGCCTAAACCAAACCTTGGACATAGTCAGACTCTTAAGAATCTTCAGGTGTGGTGGACAGCTAACAGAGCAACAACAGTGAAGAGAGCAGCAGTTAGATGGGTTCATTTAAGCTTTTTCTGAAATGATGAAAACAGATAATGAAATGTTTTAGCAAAGATAAAAAAAAAAAACTTATCACAAACTGTGTAAAATTGTTCATCTTTTGACCAGAAGGAAAGTGAAACTGTGCTAAGCTTGAAAACAGATGGGTTCTTAATATGCAGTTGTCAAGGGGTGAATAGGATTTTTTGACCAAGCAGTTCTCCAGTATTTGGCTATCCATACTACTGAGATAAAGTTTTTTTTTTTTTAAAAAAAAAAAAAAGACCACAGCTCTTTGCCATCCCTTAGACTGACAACAAATGAAGATCAATGATAAAACTGCAGGAAAAGCTCTTGGCATATTTGTGCAACACCCTTTAGCATGAACCGTCTTCAGAATCAGATGTGCCAACATCAACTATTACCAACCTGATTTTTTGTAAGCGATGGGTCCCACAATCCTACATCTTCCCATGTAGTGTTTTTCAAATAAAAGTCATTAGGTTCAAACTGCTTAAAATCCTGGAGAAGGGGAAGATGGGAAGAGAGCACAGAGAATCAAAACCAAAGACCAACTGCTCCCTTAAGCAGCTCTTGTCAGCATCCATGCAGTCCTCTCAAGTGCAGCTGGCAAATCGCAGGTATTAGCAATTCGAGGAAGGGTGGGGATTTACAGTGCAGCTCTTTGAAGAGCTGGGAATAGTCTCAATATCATAGAACACCTTAAGAACTATTCTCAATACTCATCCTCCTAATTAACCCAAGACTGTAATTACATACCTGTCCCATTTAAAGCCACCTGCTAAACATTTAAAACCATACAAACACTTTACCATAACTCTGATGGTTGGTTGGTGGTTTTTTTTTTTTGGGGGGGGGGAAAGAAAATGTCATTTGATTGGTTTGGGGTGGTTGTTTGTTTTTTAATTAATTTCACACAGGAATCCAGATAAAAATTTTAGTTTGACTAAATATATGATGTCCAGGAAGCCCATTTTCTATTAAAAAATAATCTTATGAAGTACTTTGTCATTTCATCTTTGGCATATAAACCAGCAGCACATAGGGGACTCAAAAACAGTATTTCCACTGAAATGAATACTGAAAGTAACATTGGCCCAGTTCAGAATTTTACCCTTAAAAATTATACTTGCTCCACAAATTTTCCAGGCAGGAGGGACTGGCATTTCTTTCTCTTAATGCATCTCACTTAAATGCTCTTTGCAGACACACTAACAGGAAAGCCAAAGCAAACCGGTCACAATTTGCCAAGTACTCTAAAGAGTTAAAGTGTGTGAACTGGCGGCGAGCAAGTTAGTTGTTCAGGAGAGAAAGCTGCACTTTTGAGAGGGCAGTTATGAAGTTTGTCCAGAAGAGTAGCACAAATACCCTTCCTGCCCTTCTAACAGGAACTAACACAGGTACAGAAGTGATTCTTTAACTTGGGTGACCTACTGTTAGCACTGACAAACACTTCATGAAAACCTCAGAACCATCTTCTGTCCCCCAAGAACATCCTATACCACATGTAGTCCTTGCTTCATTCCCACATGTTCAGTTAGCAAGTGCTATTTTTAAGAATCCAACATAAACAAAAGATGACCTACCTTTGATGATACATCAGGGCAGTCACATATAGCCTGAAGTGTATCTTATCTGCACTAAACTTTCTAAAAAGTGTTTACAGGTGCATTTTATCTCAAGTTATTAAGTCCTACTTTGTGTAGAATTTAAAAAGCAATGCAGGGGTAGCAACACCTGAACAACAAGGCTCAAATGAAATCCCAGGATCATTCTCAGAAGCTGATAAGAACAGAGGAATATGGTGTGAGAACAGCATACAGGGGATTCCTTCAAAATTCACAATAAAAATTTAACATTTTGTGAAACAGGTCTAAAAAAACTCCCAAATTACATCACACCAAAGACCTTACAGTTCCACAAACTTTGGAGGATTTTGACTCTAACTGCAACACTTTGGAGGTATCATACTTACTTCTATATGTTCCTTACAGTATTCCAAACCAATGTCACTAAGTATTTTTTTCACAGTTTTCCGGGCCTTTCTTAAACTGCCAAGGTTGTTGACAGGAAGTTGGAACATAGTTTCTATTGAAAAAGAAAGTAAGAGAAAAGGTTTAAGTCAAATGTGTTTTGTATTAGTAATTTTCTGTCTCATTTTACCCATATAACTCAGTATCAGAGCTCTACCATTAACTAAGAAACTACCACATTTTCTGTCTGATTTGTTCTTAAATGATGCTGGCTATAAAACTAGATACAGACAAACTTAAGATAGGACTTAAAAAACCCAACAAACTGATGTAAGAACTATTGCAGGAGTAATCAGCTGCATCTGGAAATAACTTTTTTTTTAAAGTGTATTTACATGAAATTTACCCCCTATGCTGAAGTACTTAAAAACAATTTATCTTTTCTGCATATGTATCCTTAGTGATTTGAAAATTGGTATGTTGAGCCTCAAGGTTTGTGTCAGTCTTGTAACAGATTTAATCGTGTCTCCTCAGTGAGAAAGATGCTTCTGGCATTCAACTGTAGGTAGGATAAGAAATTAACAGTTCTTCCTCCATTTACTGTATTTATAGCTTTAAATGGCTGACAAGCTCTTTAGCATACTTTCTTCTTTTATTAAGATGGGACCTGAAAGCTTGGTTAGAGCCCTTCAAAAATACAGATCACCAGAAAAAGCACTTTGGCTTAACGCTTCTAAGCGTAGCTGGATTTTTCAGCCTGCAAGACAACCCTCCCTTTCTCTTTTCACAGAGATAGCTAACTCCAGTCTGTAATGACTGGGGGCTATCCAGCTATAAGAAAGTCTAAATTTCAAGATATGCATATTCCCAGATTCAACCATAAGATTTCTTCCCAACACTAGTAACTTGGTCTTCCTTTGCGCACACAGGAGTTCTCAGTCTGCATGCTGCTACGGGTTCAGTAAGTGCTTGCTCTGCTACACACCATCAAGTCATCTGCACTTTTAGAAGGTGCAAAATGGCAGAAACATGGAAGTCCCTGTGAAAGTCCCTGACAACATACAGTTATTCTGGAAGTAAGAGGGGGTGGAGCCAGCAATAAAAAGGTAGGCTTTTCTCAAAGAAAAGGGGAGGAAGCTTCTTAAATAGCAAGAAAGCATCAGTTGCTACCTTGTTCCCTAGGCTTTAATGATCCAATGCCTGTTGCATGAAGAATATCACCCCAGAAGAAAACAGCAGCTTTTTTTGATCATTAATATTTCTGTGAGCCAATTCAGAAATGTTGCTTTGTTTGAACAACAAAAGGTTTCATTCATATCAACAAATTAATCCACTGTAAGGCCAAAGACTACCTACATCAACTAAAAATGGTTTGGGGTTTTTTTTGGATAGAAGCTTGAAAGTATTTTTTTTTTTTTTTAAACTTTCAAGCAGAAGCCTAGAATGCAGAGTTAACAGAAGTTTGCAGCCATTAAATATTTGAGTTAGACAAAAACTCTCCCCTTTTATCATGAGATCAAGGGCAACTGCAAAGCTACAAAGAGCTTACTAAGAAATTTTCTCAAAGTACAAAGGATATGGGCTGTGACTACAACAACCGAGTGTCTCTGATCAAAGCCAACCCTTCTATATGCGCTATTGTGCATACTCCTCAAAGTATACTTGTCTGTTTACACAGTAGCCTTTTTATTTTCATACTCCTACCAACTTTTACTAGGTAATGCTTTAAGACAGTCACTAACAGCCTACTGTTCCATGATTCCCACCATCAACACTGTTTAGTTTCAGAAATAAACAAACCTGAAAAGTTCTGTGTGTAATACGTGTTAATCTAATACAAACCACTGCAGAATCAAAACCTACAAGCAGTGCTGCTGGCACATGTTGCTAGGCTCTAGTCTCTTCAAATTCAATGAACTCAGAAATGGCTCCTGGGTAGAAGCAGAAAGCTATCATGACATTTAGGATTCATATGACAACTATAAATTAGAAACTAAGTGGAAACGAGCCTGAATTTATATTTACAGGAAATTTTCAGAAGTACCAAAGCAACTCTGGTCATTAAGGGTTTTGGTACTTGTATCAGGCTGGCCACTGTCACAGATTACCAGAAACAAATACAGTGTCATTTTAATACCCCTATGTGAAAACTAGGAAATCAAAGAAAAATAAAAAGTTTAGACCTTGTCTATAAATCTCAGGGATTCCAAATTACTCATTTATAGTATCTGCAATAATGAAGTTACTTAGACACATCATGCAAAATGACTAATGATAGTAATTTTCAAACACAGGCCATAAAAAAAAAGTATTTCAATGTTCTGTATAACTTAAGAGAATTTAGTTTAATCAAAATCATCTTGATTTCTTCACATACAACACTTTAAATGCAAGTATATTAATTTATGTGAGTGTAGAGGTGTTTCCACTAATTCTCATTTCACTGGAAAGGGTAAGAACGGGGGGGGGGGAATTAAGTTCATATGAAAAGCAGCTATGTTCTTTCTATATGTTATGTGGTACCTTTCATTTTAAGGAAACTCAAACCCACTTTAGAAATACAAAGACAAGTCTCATAATGTGAACCCTCCTCAAGCTATGGAGAGCACTTCTGCAGGCATTCTTTGCCAGAGAAGGCAAGAATTAAACTGATCGTGGCAGTGAACTACTCTCTTTCCAGTTATTCCCTCTAAAGCCTCTGATGACTTTGCATGGGAAGCCATGAACTGCTTTTTTTATGCTGCATCCATTCTCATCTGTCCTCTTTTATAATCAAGTATTTCACATGCAATTATAAACAGTATCCAGGCCTAAGACATTCTCCATCTCTGTACAAGACTGAATGTGATTGTTCAGAGTGATTCATGTCATCCGTTGAGAATGCTACTCACTCCTGCCCAGTCAATTATTTTTAATTCTCATAAAGGACTAGGAAATAAGGTTTGAATGGGAGTTTCTAACTTCTTGTTACTTTGAAAACTGACTCAAATCGGTTGTTTTATCGAAATCTGCATTTAAGCCTATGGTTCCATTATCACATTTTCTGATCAAATTCTGAATTTATCAACATGTCCCTTTCCTCTTTCTTATACAGTTATTTCTGAAGGCACACATTGAAGAGCAGTTTAAGAAAAACAATTGCAACATCCCTAAGATTTTAGAACTCTGCACTGTTTATAAGGCTTTGATTAAGTAACTACAGAATGTGCCAAGTTCTGCCCTGCTCTTCTACCCGTCCTTGCCCATACTGTGGTATCAGTTTTACTGTGTAAGCACCTCTGGGCAGAGACTATATCCTGTTATTTATACTATTACTTAACATGCTTTTGGATGAAGTAAAATAAAAATAATACCATTTATGACATGCAAGCACATAAATGGTGGAAAAGATTTTGAAAACAGTAATGGATATTTACCTTGCAAACAAATTTGTATTGAGAAATTATTGTATTAAAAAATTAAGACCTCAAATAGCAAATTTATGTATTTCAGAGCAATATTACAATTAATTTAGTTCCTTCAACAAATAGAACTAAAGTTTCCTTGACTAAAAATATTATTTCAGGGTTACAATTTTGCTTCAACTGTAAAAACAGCATCTAATATAGCTTAAAGTTGAGCCAGGTCCATTTTAAAGACATGAATAGTAACTGGAAATATTTAACAACAGGGCTGAGAATCAGCAATGCCCATCAGTATAAAAGTTGATAAACACTAATGGGAAAAACACTGTTGCTTAAGAATTTCAACTCCTAACTAGCCTCTTGATTAATGCAAATGGTTTTGTAAGGTTTGCAATTTCCAATTTCCATTTTCTCTGTATTTGACCTGTAGTGGAAACTCCAACCTGCAGTTTTTTCTCCTAGGCCAGTCACTACAAAATAGCTTTCAATGCTGAGCCCGCTGTCAGTTTTTTCATGACTTAAAACAGATCTGACTTGTGTGATACTACAACTGTGTTAACAGGAAAAGAAGACGACAACATAGAGCACAGAGTGGATTTATATCCTTAAACACAGATCACAAATTGGAAAGAAAATATGCTTCGTTAACATTCTATTCCCTCTCTTCCCTAAACTGAACTGGGAACTATAGCTCTGAACACTAAGTTACAATAAAGAAACAAGTTTGCTTTCAAAGCACAGCATAATCTTTTTAAACTCACAAACATTTATTAAAAGTTCTTGCTGCTGAAGTTCATTGAGCCAGAGTGAAAAATACTAATGTAGCCAAGAAATTAATCATGGCTCCCCCAATTCCTTTTCTCTAAAGGCAACTGAATAAGCATTGCTCTTACTGTATTGCATTGGTTCAGTAATGCTTTCAGTAGCTTCTTCACATGCTCAATTTTTTCATCAAAAATTATATGAAGCAGCATAGTCAAGTATGTTTAGGATTTGAATGAATATTTTCAAGTGAACTTCAAATCCAAGAAGATAATGTCCTAGTAATTTTATTCCAGAATAACCCAAGTTATTAATATCAACTGTAGAAACATCAGTGCGTGAAAACATTACATTTTAAAGCTTCTAGCAAGCTGTGCTGTTTTCTTCAAAACCAAAGAATGTACTTATTTTGCTTGTAAAGAAACTTTTTTTTTTCTTCATGACAAAGCAAAAGTCAGTACAGTTTGTCTTTAGGCAATAATCACTTGTAAAATTGAAAGTCAGCCACAAGTCTCAAAATAATGCCTATTATCAAAGACCTTATTTTAGTTCAAAATTGCACTAAATTTCTTCACCAAAAGAATCAAATGCTTTCTCTTAATTACTGTGTCTAACATACCTACACATGCCAAATATACCACGAGATATATACTCAAGTGAATATGAAAGCAAATGATTTAGGACTGCCTGAAAACAAGATCTCTATTCTATCTGCACCATCTCCTTGCCTCTGCCCTTTTGTCCACGTCACAGTCAGACCTCGAAGACAAGAAATTATCAAGATCTTCCTATCACAGCACATCATAATAGAGGATATAATTAGATCTTCACATCTGAAAACTAAACATCAACCTTACTTTGCAAATTCTGCTTGATAGCTGAATCCAACTCACCTAATCTAACAAAAAACTCATCCTTAAGCAAATACAGTTAATTTTAAATTTTAGGA